CAAGTTGCCATGTCCAGGATTGAAATCATGGAGTTGGCCATGTGGGATCCAGCACCTTAACCTCTACAACACCTGCTGGCCTCATGATGGAGATTTTACCCTTTATTACATTAATAAGTAGAGTTCAGAGTTGTGTAGTGGCACCACATTAAAATGCCAACCTACATGGGACGTTTCCAGGTTCACGTCTAGGGACATCTCTGGATATACCTGGCACGTGCATGCCCATGATCCTGAGCTGGCTGAAGCTGGGGGTGGACTGCAGCATTAAGATCCTGTCGGGGGTTCTCTCTCTCTCTCTCTCTCTCTCTGAAGACATAAATAAATAAACTTTAAAAATAAAATAAGTAAATTCCTTTCAGCAATTCAAAATGTCCTCAGCATTCACAATAGCTACTTGGAACATGACCTGTGTAGGGACTATGGTTAATGCCTTTACTATTACTTGTGTGGTCTTTAAATTTAGAGCTCAGAGTGATTTCTGACTAAGAGTACAATAAGTTGGCTTAAATTCTGTGTCTTGACAAAAATCTTGTCACATTGTGCCTGTAATTCGTAAGGCTGATATTAACACAGTCTCCTGCAGGAGTCTCATCTGTAGCTATGGTGACCAACTCTGACAAGTCTACTTTAGAATCTCAAAACTCTTCTCCATGCACAAAAAATAAACCACTTCCTAATATCATGCCTTTTTTGAACAGCATTACCAGAAGATTCTTAGTCATGTCAAAATTCTCAACAACACAAATAGCTTTTAGTTATCTATTCACATATCAGCTACAATAAAAATACCAAAAAATAATACTTTTTCATGTAATTTGTCCTGTAAATTCTGAGCCCTACTTACAACACAAGTAGACTAGCCTTCATAGATATTGCATTTATAATGCTAGTTTCTGTTGAGGACCTGTTCTTTCTTTTGCCTTCATAAGATTTCTTTGTAAACTTTCCTTACGCAAAGTTTTTATTGCCTGAGCAATTCCGTTTTCACTTACTATGCAGCAATTTCAGAGCAGCATCACTGTGATGATTAGTTTTATCTGTCACCTTGACTGGGCCATGGGTGTCCAGATATTTGGCAACATTATTCTGAGTACGTCACTAAGTTTGTTTCTGAATGGATTAACTTTTTTTTTTTAAGGTTTTTACCGTAGGATGTATATACTCACTGGAGAGAGACAGTAAACAGAAAAGTGAGAAATAATCTCCTAGGAGGGATGGCCATGCTCCAGTCACTTTGTTCTCCTCCTGGGATTTTGGGCACACTCACACATGAACCCAGTGTGATTTTTCAAGTGCTAGGCCTGGGACTCGAACCACAGTCGGCCATGTGAGAGTCCAACACCTTTACTATCACATCACCTGCTGGCTCCAAGATTAACATTTGAATAGCAGACTGAGTAAATCAGATTGTGGGTATGTATCTAGTTGAAGGCCTGAATAGAAAAACATAGACCTTCCCTTAAGTAAGGAAAAATCCTCCTGCCTGATTGCCTATAGGTGGAACTTCAGCTTCTCCCTGCCTTCAGAATCAGACCGAAATGTCAGCTCTTCCTGAGTGTTGAGCCTGTCCATCTTTCAATAGGAACTACACCATCATCAATCCTGATTCTCAGGCCTTTGGACTCAGCCTGGAACTACACCATCAGCTCTCTTAGGTGTTTACCTGCTGACTGAAAATCTTAGGACTTATCAGCCTCCAAAGTCACCTGAGCTAATTCCTGATAACGAAACTCTTTCTCTATATAAATGCACATTCTCTTGGCTCTTTTTCTCTGGAACATCCTAATACAATCATTTATTTTACTTGTACTAAAAATGACCCAAGGGTCAGGTAGTGGTACGACAGTAAAATGTGATGCTGTGCTAGGCAACCCCACAGGGAAAAGTTGCCAGCTCAGTTCTGGAGACCTCCCTGAGTATAGTAGGCACACACATGCATATGATTTGGGCTAGCTGGAAGCTGGTGGTGGATCCTGGTGTTTTCCTGGAGGAACAGTGTCTTTCTTTCATCTCCTAAGAGTTCTTATAAGTGCCCCGTTATTTGGGATGTGAGAGGATGGTTCTATCTCAATTGCTGGGTTATTATGCCCGTGATATGCACAGTTAATTGAACTTCTGACCATGTGATAGATAAGTGATACATCCATCAGTGCTGCAACTGTGTTGACATAGTATGAAGTCAACAAGACGTTATCGTTTTGTTGATTCAATCAGAAAGTTTGACCATGTATCACGTACCTTGTGCCAGCTCTAGATATAGGCATCAAAATATAATTAAGTAGTACTTCCTCAACTTCATGCATCAAAATTTAAACATCACCTCCTCCAGAAAATCATTTTTTTTCCTCCCTGGATCTCCCGAACTCCTCCTCAATCTAGGAAAGAAATCCTACGAGATGCTCTCAACACATCTATACAGATCATGTAATACGGCTCTTTGGCCAGGCTCCCTCTCAGCTTTAAGCTGCAAAAGTTCAGGAATTGGGTGGAGTGTTTCTCAACTGACCCAGGAAGGGAGAACTGAATGACAGGAGGATAAGGTCAAAGGCTAACCACGCACATGCCTAGGCTTCTTCCTTCCACCTACTTCCATGGCCCAAGAAAGAATGGTCTTCAGAGAGCCTGAAGAGGGCCCAAAGATTGTTTCAGGTGCAAAAACTCACTCTTTCTTTCAAGGGTTTCCATAAAAGGGGAAGTCCTGACCACAAATCTCCTCTTTGATATAAGAATAAAAATATCTTTTCCATTGGTTGGTTGGGAGGATTAAATCAGATAACATAAAAATATTTACAGTAACTATACAGTGCTGTTTTCTTCCAATCAGAAAATTTCAGGGTCTTCTTCTTCAATCTCAAGATCCTTGCTGCTCTAGTTTCTGTCCCAGACCAACTTCTAATCCCTGTTCCTACCAGTCTCTCCTCTTCCTACTATTCTTTCTTTCTTCCCAGTCCTCCTTTCCTCTTCCTTTCTTCTCCCTTCTTCTCTTTCCTTGATTTCTCTTTCTGCTTTCTTATCTCCTCCACAGTCCTCCCTTCCCTGCACTCTCCATCGCCCACAACTCCCCTGTGTTTGCTTTGCTCAGGAGATAGCACACTAGCCAAGAACTGAACCAAACTGCTTGGTCCACATGTAGATCCACCTCTATGATCTAAGCCTTGGATTTCTAGGCATAAAATGTGTGTGCTGATTTTTTAAAAAATATATATAAAGTATATATTGCACAGCTGATTTGAAAATTGAATAAGACCCATACATAAATGTGTATTCACATCAGCAAATTTGCTAGTCCAAAGAATAGATAGTTCCATGATTGATATCTATTCATTTTCTTCCTCACTCTTTCTCTTTCTTTTCACTTAGGTTTAGGGTGCAGAAGAGAAAAGAAGTCTAAAGGGTGCATTCCTCAGCAACAGTACCATGACTTTCAAGAAAAGAAAGCCTCTTTAGTCTTCTGCTAGCACCAAATAATTAAACTGTCATCCTATTCACCTTCACCCCACATTGGTCATATTCCTGACCAACCTAGATTGTGTAGGCATAGGTCAAGATATTTGAATGATCCTACAAAATTAATTCTAGATTTTCTGATGAAAAGCAAAGTATTTGCTTTGTATGGCCTTGTTCTATTCACGGACCTAATGTTTTCCCCAATCCAACTTAGGAAAGAGTAAGTATTGAAAAAGGCAAAATATTTCTTCTTTTCAAATGTTAACCAAGGGAGGACTGGACACTTTTACAAGGAAGAGATCACTCTTAAAATTTCCTTCTGAGTTGGCGTAATGACTATGTTGCATAACTCCCATGTAGTTGACCGCAGTTCAAGTCCCAGACCCTGTGGCTTAAACTCACGCCGGGCACGTGTGCATGCCCAAGATCCCAAGAGGAAATGGAGGAGAAGGGAGAGGCATGCCATCCCCCCTGGAGGAGCGCATGTACCCTAAAAAACCTCTCAAAAAAAAAAGAAAGAAAGAAAAAATTTCTAAGACCGAAAAGGAAATCACATAAAGGAACTGTGAAACTGTTTGTGAACAGTAAATACGGAAATTAAAAATGTTTAGAAACTTTTATAGCACTTTAGCATTGTCTGTATATTCCATCTGCAGATGGACTACTGTTATTCACTTCTGGGTATAGGACATTGGAAAGTTGTCAAACTGGTGAGTCACATGAGGGTGGAGCTGATTGCTGGTAATACAAAAAGGACCACATTCTGTCCGCAAGAACTGATGCACGAGAAGAACTAACCTTTCATCACGATGGTTTGAGAAGCACTGGTAGAAACTTGACTTCCACAATTTTATGTGGCCAGATAATTATCAGTCTTCAAGAGTTCATTATACCAGATCTAATACAGCGGAAACATCGAATATGTGAGGTATACATCGCCTTGGACATTTCCAAACGGAAAATTGTTAAAATATTTCAGTTTTGCGCCTTCTTTTATCACCACTATCTTTTGGCTAGAACAGTTTTGTCACCACCCGCTCATCCCAGACACCGCGCTGCCATCTTGTGGTCGAAGACGTTGCCTTGGACCGTTTTTCCTCGGGCACTGAGGTCTTAACGATCAGCCAAACACACACACGCACACCCTTATTTGCTGTTAAATCTGTTTTAAACAACGGACTGGACCTTAGGAGGAAGGAAAGGCAAACGGGTTCTTTACCGCGTTTTCAATAACGCTTCTAATCCTTATCTTAAGTGTCTGATTCACCGACAGCTTTTCAATACATGTTGTGCTCCTGCATTTCGACTTAGTAGCTTTCTATATTGTTCTTAGAAGGAATGGTGGGGATCTGAATATTTCCAGGGGACTCAAACATTCTCATTCGGAAGAAGGCAAAGAAGTGAAGCAAGGAGACTGATTTCAACATACTCATTTTTGCCGGTACGTGAAGGCTAGGCAAGCGATGTAGATCCGGAAAGCGCAGTTCCCCGCTGCGCATCGCCGACTGCGCAAGGAAACTACAACTCCCAGCATGCCCGAGCGCCAGTCCGCGGCTGCGCACACGAGCGCACGCGGGCGGCCGTGGGACTTCAGCATGGCGGTGTTCGCAGACTTGGATCTGCGAGTGAGCTCCGACCTGAAGGCTCTGCGCGGGCTTGTGGAGACCGCCGCTCATCGTGAGTTGCTCCGGCTTCGCTGGCCGAGGCGTCTGCTCAGCCTCGCTGCTCCCCAGGGTCTCCCCGGCAGGGATAGTCCCCCTGGGTCTTGGGATGTCCCCCAGGCTGATGACAGCCGCGGCGTTGCTCTGATCCCTGGCGCGGGAAACTCAAAGGTTCTGGGGGACTGTCACTCAGTCCAGCCCCTTTGCCCTGCCGGCTGAAGGACTGAGCCCCTACGAGGGCGAGAGGTTTGCACAGAGCCCGCAGCTGATGAGGGGGCAGAAGCCAGGGCTGGATTCAAGTGCACAGTCTCCCAGGCCCGCGCTTGTGTATCTTGAGCCTGACCGCAGGGTCCGAGCAGACGCGGGAGCTGGAACAGAGACTGGGGGAGCTTTGGAGGCACAAGAAATGGGAGGCCGTGGGGGTGTGAGTGTTAGAGAAAGGGTAAGTGGAGGCGGAGGACACTGTAGGCCGGAGGAGGGCGGCAGCGTAGCCAGCATGTTAGGATCTTACGTATAATTGTGGCGAAGAGAAACGAATGCCTTGAGAGATGAGACCCTGTATTATTGGGGCTAGTCATAGTTTCTGTCTTCCTCTGCTATAAAGCGTGGGGATAGGGAAGTTAAAAGAATGAAGTGGCTATTCAGTAACAACCGCTCCTCGAAGACAGTTCTCAGCCTCATGGTGAGAACTGATTACTGATGCTTTTCAGAGAGGCTGCTAGAAACCACTTCTTCGCTAAGTCAGTCACACCATTTCTTCTGGTCTTCTTTAGGAAGTACTTACAGAAAAGTGACATTCTCTTTCCATTGGGGCTGCTAAAGCATTGCCTCTCCGGGGATACTTTCCTCCTCGGCAGAAGGGAGGTAGATATGATGATCTGGGCCATTTAGCGTTTGGACAGTTCCTTTAAAATGCACTTTTTGCTGAGTGTTAACTGCTCTGAGTAGTAACTCCCCTTCCCCATGAAGCTTTTCCATGTGTCTTTCCCTTATGACCGTCTTTAGAGAGGGGCCAGGTCTTTTTCTTCTGTTTATTTACTGTGCTCACCACAGTCGCTTGAACAGTCAGCGGTGCATGGTGGTTACTCAGCTCATGCTTATAAAATAAATTGAACACCTTTTAAAAAATAAATATAAAACAAGGAAAGCTGAAATGATTTCTCTAGAGAACTGTCCCAATGTAACATATGCTTGAAGAAGGGCAAAGTATGTACATATATGTACATAACAAAGTATGTTAGCCAGTCTCCATTTACTACCTTAAAAATTAAATGAAATCCATGACCTGTGACAGAAAATCACCTCAACTTATAAAGCAAAAGGCAGAAAACTTCTATTTGGTGAGTGGAAATTTTCGAGGACTAAAGAAGACAGAACCCCAATTCTTAACTTAGGATGTAATAAGAAACCAGTGATAAGCTTCAGAAATATGCTGTATAAATAAAAATGTATCAAACACCTGTTGGAAAAATACTCCTAAAATGCCAGATAGAGTAGTCTAGGAGAAAGATGTGTGGGAAAACAGAATCTAGTTGACATTTGGGAAGGACAGTAGGGACATTGTTTAGTGCTCAAAAGGTATCCCAATGGATATACCAAGAACATGTAGACTTGGAAGTGGTTAAAGAAGAATGGAGGATCCCTGTGGGTGGTTGACTTGACTGACTGGGTGAAAGGTGAGGCCCACAGCAAAGGTTTATTTCTCTTATCATCTAGTTTTGGGTTTTAGACTCACTTTTCCCAGGTGACCTTTTCTGACCCTCTACTCCAGGTTTCATTCTGCTGTGTGCTTCCATAGAATCTTTCCATGTCAAAAAAAGCTTACGCATAATGACTGGTTTAGTTGCAGTATTTCTCCCCAACAGAGTAAGTTCTTTGAGGATGAGGACTGTCTCGTTTACGGGGTCTTCAGCACCTAGCATAGAGCCTGTCAAGTAATAGAAGCTTAGTAAATATTTGAGAAAAGAAAGAAGAAAGTTGGACAAATTGATGAGAGAGAGGGCCACTGTTTGAATATTGCTATGTGTTCTTATAATATTAGTATCCTGTTATCCCCACTGGTGTTTAAATAACTAAAAAAAAAAAAACCAGAAGTCATGACTTAGACGTAGTTTTGGTAGCCCAGATGTCCAGAACGGTGCCTAATGCAATGAGAAAAACAGAGCAAACTCCTGGCCTTGAAGAGTTCCCAATGTATTGATGGTGGACAGTTCAAAGGGGGAAGTAGACAGTGGTGTGAGAGAGTCATCGTTTCTGCTTAGGAAGGGGACCTCCGGAAGAAGTTGAAAGGAGAAAAAGAAATGAATGAGAATAAAGGTGACCACAAAAAATTATAAACTTGATGGGATAAAAATGAACAAACGTGCTCACACCCATAACCACACCACCAAATTGCCTCCTGGTGTTGTCAGGCAGAATCAGGATGGGCCTGTGTCCACAGAAAGGAGAGGTTATATTTAACAAACCCATTCAATTTTCTTTTCAGTTGGCTATTCAGTTGTGGCCCTCAATCATGTTATTGATTTTAAGGAAAAGAAGCAGGTAAAATAATATTTCTGAAGATATTATATAATAAGTTTATAAATAGTAAGTATTTATAACTATTTGTGTTGATATTGGTAATATAGAAGCTATAGATGATTATATTGTTTAAATACACTCCATTGTGTACTGAGTACTGTTATTTTCTTATATGTAAACAGTTGAGCTGATGCATATCTATACAAATTATGACGATTTTTATAAAGTACAATGGCATGATAGAAGAATTCTTAAAATCGATTTGATGTTAAATTGTTTCAATAACATTTTAAAAGTATATTGTTATTTACAGAACTGTAATCACAATATTTAGTCCTTTTTATTTTATTGTATGGTATTTTATCTTATTTTCATGGACTTATTAATTAACTGACTTCTTTCTTAAGTATAATATACTAGTAAAGGTGTATATTTCTCTTTATGCCAAGAACTGTTCCTATAGATTACACGAGCCTAAAAATTAGTTTTCCCTATTATTTGCTGAAGTTCTTAGCTATTTCTGTGCTCTTTAGTATTCTTCCTTTAAAAAGAAAAAAGCATATGTAGTGTTTCTGAATATCAGAAATTAGCTTTCTTTCTTTTTTAAAAAAGTGTTTTTAAACCCCATGTAAGTTTTCCATTATGCTTCACGCTGTTTACATGTACAATCTAAGGTAACTGTTCATTATTTCCTATAGGAAATTGAAAAACCAGTAGCTGTTTCTGAACTCTTCACAACTTTGCCAATTGTACAGGTAGGCATTTTAAGAAGCATAGTATCTATTATGTCAATTCAGACATATCCAATTAGGCTTCTTTTCTCCAACTGGAGCTGTGCCTTGTTCTGCCTCCCAGTTCACCTTTCCATCAAGGCTCAGCACTTCCATGCAATGTTCTCTTACCAATGATTCAGTGCTTCTTTAATGCTCATCTTTCCTGAAGTCCTAGTGTTTAAGTGATCTCCTTGGGTAGTTGGAGGTACATGCGTGAATTGCGGAGAACGAGGACTAGGTTTTCTTGGTCATTACTGTTCCTTATAGTTAGCACTTGTAATGAATAAGAAGAAAACCAATCTGTTCTATTTTGTGCTTCTTTTGATAGCATGCTTTTGTTTATAGGGAAAATCAAGACCCATTAAAATTTTAACTAGGTTGACAATTATTGTTTCGGATCCTTCTCACTGCAATGTTTTGGTAAGTTAATTATTTTTCCTCTCTCCTTTTAACCTTTAAAATGCATTGATTAATGTTGAACAATGTTGCATTTCCTCTCAGCCCATTCTGCATCTCTCCCTTCCTCCAATCCGTGACACCAGCCTAATCTGCCTATCCTCAGAGTTCACACAGTATCACATGTGTGAATTCTACCTACTCATGCACATGTACAGTGATACCACCATTAAAGAATCCTTGGCAACTGTTATTCATCGAATTCACATGAACTAGACATGAGGTGGGTGTTGGGGATATTGTTGTGACCGATGCAGACATAATTCTTGAACTTGTACTGAACAAGTAATAATTATAAATGTTAGAAATGTTCAAAGGAAGGGGATTGTTATATAAAGAATGCCCTGGGGGTATGTAACCTGACTGATGTGCAAGGCAGGACTGGAAGAATCAGCAAGTGTTATTTATGTGACAAGCAGGATAGAGTATTTCCACAGATAGGACAGATTATGTGAAGGTACTGAAGCCAAGGAAAACAGTGTTTTGGGAAGTGAAACCAGACCAGTCGGGCTGAGCCTAGCAAGTTGGCTGTCTGGGCTGAGGTTAGGAAGGTAGGTCTGGGTGAAGATTTCAAGAGCAGTAGGAAGCCCTTAAAGGTTTTAACCAAGGGAGTAAAGCTAGGATATTTGCTTACAGAGAATGAATTAGAGTTAGAGAGGTTACAGAGGGGATTTGAGAGGCATCCATAAGAGGGGATTGATGGGATTTGGTGCTTGATTGGATATAGGATGGTGACTCCCTACTCTCAGCCAGGTAGGTAGACTGTAATACAATTTCCTGAATGAATACATACAAAGAGAAATAGGTTTGGGGGCATGCTATTAGGGACATGGAGTTATTATGTAAATTCCAATGGAACCTATCAAACAGGCACTTGGAAATAAATAAAGTAGCCCTAAAAAGAGTACATTTCAATGAAAGATGCTGCTTTGTGAATGGTGGTCTATAGAGAGTAATTGACATCACCAGAATGGATGAGACTCTGTCAAAGTGCAGCATGGGAAGAGGAGGTCTAGAACATAGTCCACTTAATGGTAGAATACAGGATGAACGAGGACTGTACCACACATGCACTCATGCCCTGCATGATTTTCAAGTCACTGGGTCCAGAACTTGAACTGCAGTCATCCATGTGAGAGTCCAGTGCCTTAACCACCATGCCACCTTTGGCCCCTTTTTAATAGTTAGCATTGCTAAAGAAATTGTGAAAAGCCAGATTGGATAAAATGTTATTTTATCCAACTGCAAGGCAGCATTCTGGTTCTTTAGTTCAAGTAGGCAGAAATGGAGCTGACTTTGGTAGATGATGAAGACCTCTTACTTATTATGATAACATCCTGGTGGCCCCTTTTGGTCCCCTTCCCAAAGTGGACAGGTAGAGAAGAGAGGAGCCTGCAGTCTGGCTCTTTCTAAGACCTAGAAACTGTCCCGTATTAGTATAAGTCTGTCCCAAAGGTCTTCTTACTTGCTTAAGTGCAACACCTGCTGTTTCTCTTAAACCCTCCTCTAGTTTTGTTTTACTTCCTCTTTTTTTTTTTTTTTTTGAGAGATTTTCATTGTAGGGCACGTGCGCTTGCCAGACAGACAGAGAGAGAGACATAGAGACAGAAGGCGAGAAATCACCCCCCAGGGGGGATGGTCACGCCACAATCCCTTCTCCTCCATTCTCCTCTCGGGATCTTGGGCACGCACGCACACGCGCCCAGCATGAGTTTTTTAAGCCACCGGGTCCGGGACACGAACTGCGGTCGACTATGTGGGAGTCCAGCGACATAGCCATTACGCTAACTGCTGGTTCCCATGTTTTACTTCCTCTTTTTTAAGTAGTAACTCTTATTTATCTTTAATGGATGTATTTCTCTTTTTAGGGATTCTTGGGAATTTTCTTAAACATTTAGAATTTTAATTTGCATTTACCAGTATTCCCATTATGAACTTAATTGCATCACACCTAATCATGAATATTGCACAGAATACATCACAGTCTTATATGGGTTTTTTGGTTTGGTTTGGTTTTGGTTTTAAGAGAGATTTTTTTTTGCCATAGGGCACATGTGCTTGCCGGAGAAACAGAGAGAGAAAGCAAGAAATCACCCCTTGGGGCATTGGCCATGCCACGATCCCTTCTCTTCCATTTCGTCTTGGGATTTGGGGCACACATGCACTCATACCCACTATGAGTTTTAAGCCACCAGACCCAGGACTCCAACCCCATTCAACCATGTGGGAGTCCAGTGATGTAACCATTATACCATCTGCTGGTTTCAGTCACTATGTTTGTTTTTGTCTTGCAAAAAAAAAAAAAAGTGAATTCCATGGAAGACAGACAGACACCCTGAATGGTTTTGTAGCCACAATGCCAACCACACAGCAGGAGCTCAGTAAATGTCTGACAAGCTCCTGATTTATAATACCACGGGCTATCTAATTTGATTTTTATATCTCCCACACAATGTTTGGTGTGCTGTAAAAGGGTAACAAATGTTGGAAGGAAGTAGGACGGTGCTTGTTGGGGTGGATGTCAGTCTCCAAATTCTCATGTGCTTACAAGATATTTCCTGCAAACATGGAAACCAGAAATGTCAGCCGCATAGAAGAAGTGTTACGTGAGGGAAATGCGGGCATAGCTCCATCACTAGGCAGAATCTCATGTGTGTACTTTTGATGCTGTCTGATAACATTCTTTTTATATTACTAGAGAGCAACTTCTTCAAGGGTCCGGCTGTATGATATTGTTGCCGTTTTTCCAAAGACAGAAAAGCTTTTTCATGTAAGTAACAGATGTGTAAAAGAAAGACAGTGTTTATTATTTCATATAAGAAGTCTGATGTTAAGTCTTTTCAACTGACCCATTTCAACCCATCTGGAAACTTTTAGGATTTTTCATTTACTCTTGGAAGTTCAAGAATTTCACACATGGCCCTTTTGTTTTGTTTTGTTTTATTCCTCCCAATCAACATTTAGTGGGCTCTGTTTGAAAGAGCCTACCAAGTGTTCTCCAGTTTCTTTATCTCTGCTTTGTTCATTGAAAACTTCTTTGAAATAAATGTTAGTCCATCTCTTTTTAGTTCAAAAATTACTTCAGTTTCTGCCCTCGTTATTATTTGCTGCTGCTTGTTCAGGAGAAAGGGGCAGGGCTCTACAGTAGCATCGAAAGCGCCCACCCTGTGCAGCTGCTCAGGTGTGCGGGGTCTGTGTGGGAGACGGTGGGTCCATTTCCCTGGTTGACCTGTCCATGGTCCTGGCTGGCTGGGCGGGCTGAGGGAGGATCTGGCACGAAACCCTGCTGAGGGTGCTTGTCTTTCACTCTCTCTCTGTCTCTCACTCTTATGAAAGAAAGAAAAACAAAAACAAAATGTCCCATCTCTATTTCAGCTTCCTACTTTGTGCGCTCTGAGGTGTGGCCATACGTGCCTTTAGTCTTCCGGAAGTCCTTCAGAATCATCCACCCATCTGCTAATAGGATCCTCTTTCCTGCCCTGAGAACCTTTATGAAATGATTCGTTTTTAAAACTGCCAAGTTAGTGCCTTTGCAGAAGGGCCAGGAGCTTATCATGTAGACTCACTTTGTCAACTTAAGACAGAAGACCTTGAGTATTTTAAATGATAGAGAAAGGAAAAAAATCAATGATATGCAGTCTTTTAGGAATATGTTTTACTGTATAAATGCTTTAACTTTTAGGAAGTTCTGAAGGTTGTCTCATCTAGGTTCAAAAAAGAGTCCATCTGCCAAAAGAATACTGCAGGGAAAAAAATATATTGGCCTTTGCTATTTTAATTTTATGTACATCAGTTATTTTGTGAGCAAACTGTTCTCACGTTACAGAAAGATTTCTCCCAAGTTTATCCAGTAGATGGAGCTGTTGAGTAAGGAAGCTGATGTGTGGTAAATTTAGTTTCCAAGGCATAATTTAAATTCTTTTTTTAATGATGTCTATTCAGATTTTTATTCTTTTGCATATTTTTATTTAAATTAAATTTACATACATTAAATTCACTATTTTAACCATTGTGTATTATATAGTCAAGTGACAAATTCAGACATTTTCATTATCTCCAAAAGAAACCTTATGCTTTGTCAACCAACATCTCCCTAGCTCCTCTTTCCCGATCCTTTCCTGCTTCTAGTAATCACTATTCTACTGTCTCCTTTTATTAGGTCAACTGTTTTTCAGCTTCCACATATGAGTGAGAATGTATAGTATTTATCTTTCTGTGCCTGGCTTATTTCACTTAACATAATGTCCTTCAGACTCACCCCTCTTGCCTCAAATGACTGGATTTCGTCTTTTCTTTTTTTCCCTCTTTTTTTAGGTTTTTGCCATAGGGTGTATGTGCTCACCCAGGAGAGAGAAAGAGAAAGGTTGAGAAAGAAAGGGAGAAATTACCACTGCCACGGGTAATGGTCATGCTATAATCCCTTTTCTCCATTCTTCTCCTGAGACTTTGGGCATGCACGCATACACGCTGGGTGTGATTCTCAAACCTCTAGGTCTGGGACTCGAACCATGGTTGATGATGTGAGAGTTCAGTGCCTTACCCACACCACAGGCTGACCCCAGGATTCCATCTTTTAAAGGGCTGGCTGGTATTTATTATATACAGAGGCCACATCTTATTTATTCCTTTATCCATTGGTAGATGCGTAGGTTGTCTCCATACCTTGGCATTGTGAATAGGGCTGCAGTTGACATAGGAGTGTGATAACTCCTTGACATACTGACTTCCCTACGTTAGGATAGTGAGATTACTGAGTTATAAGGTAGTTAGAAGGTAGTTCCACTGAGTTATAAGGTAGTTTTAGCTGTTTGTTTATTCATTTTCTTTGTGAGTGAGAGAAATAGAGACAGCAACCCTAACAGGGTCTTGTCGACCTGATCCACCTCCAGACTCAGCAAGTACATTTGATTTCTGAGTTAATTTTGAAAATCATACAACATAACCTATCCATAGTCCTTTACTGGTGATGAAAGAAACAAAGCACTTTGAGTAGCGTGTTGGCTGGGAGGCACACGTTTATATAGTCTTCCAAAGACGTTTACCTATTTATTTCCTTCAACTTGTGCAACAATCCTGAAAGATAAGCCAGACAGATATTTATTTCACTACTTCATAGAGAGAAGTCTGAGGTTGTCGCTAAATGATATGCTCTACATTTCCCAGACAGTGTGTAATAGAGGACTTTCGGGATTTGGACTGTCACTTTAAATTTAATGTCATACAGCAGATTTATCTTTTTTATTTATCTTATTGTTTTCCTCAGACTATTCAAGTTTGAATTTAAAACATACCCGATGGTGGGGGGTAGAGCAGTTGAAAGCCAAACATCTTTTAGAAGCTAGAAAAGTGCTATAAACAATTCATAAGATCTTTATTTGGAATTGATCATAAACACATACTCAAAAATTTACATGAAAAACACAGTTTTTTAAATTGAAACTTAAAATTGAAACGTCTTTCTTGTCTCTGTTCAAATCTTATCCCTTTCTTAGGAAAGCGTATCATAGTTCAGAATGAGGCCAAATGCAATCAGTTTGCTGCTTAACAGATCACATTCTATAATATAAAAGTGATTTTGTTTGTTTTGTTTATAACTTGATTATTTAGATTTTTTTAAAGAATTATTTTATTCAACTTTATTTATTTTTAATTTGACCAGAGAGGAACAGAATGTGAAAGAGAGAAAGCAAGCTGCCAGGTCTGGGACTCGAACCGTGGTTGGCCTTGTGGGAGTCCAGTGCCCTTAACCACCATGCCACCTGCTGGCCCCAATTATTTAGATTTCTAACAGGTATCCCTGTTTTGATATTCTAAAACTGAATTTCTAAGATAAGCCTCAAAAGCACACATCTATACATGTATGTCAGTAGCAGTATGAAATCTAACCACCTTAAATAGCATCTTTTCCATGGAACATCATACACTGTTTTCTTCTCAGAGTACCCGAAAGATATACTGTAGAGAAGAAGCCCTCCCGCCTCACAGCTAACCAGGGGTAGGCAAAGAGGAAAGATTGTGAGGGGCCCATTGGCTGGGCTCCTGGAATAGCGAAAGTGTTCCTGTTCCACAACGTTGCTTCCCAGGCTCACTAAGTTTATAAGCCTGTCTTAAAGTGAGACAGCCTGTCATTGCTACTTGCTTCCTGAAGCTGTAGGGTCGGTGTAGGAGTGACTGAAGTGGTGCTTCTGAAGAAAAAGGACACCATGTGATATCCCTGTCATTGCTAAAGGTCTGCCGATCCTAGAGGGTGTTATCACCCACTTTCATCCATTTTCTTACTCCACCCTTTCTCCTAGTAAAGGGTTGGTTTGGCAGCATATGCACCCTGGCAGTTTAAATTTGTTCTCCAAGCCAGTACACACCAGTGTTGTCAATAAGGGTTGTGTTTAATATGATCTAGAACAGCCCATTTTTCGTAATCATTCTCATTTACATAACGGCAGAATCCAAGCCGGCTATGCGACTTTTAGTGGTGTCTCGTGGCTTGCACTCTATACTAGTAACCTTTCTCCAACTTGATTTCCTCCCTTGATTTCTCTTCATCCCTATTTATTTGTTTATTTTATTTTGTATGTAGTTTTTGTAGGCAGCTTCAAATCCCTTTAGAAGTAAATGTATATTAATCAACAAGTAAAAGCAAAAAGTAGGACCAAGGAAAGGGAAACTAAAAGTTGAAAAAATGCTCATTATTATTTGAGTTATGACATCTCTGCTTTAACCCTTTATGTAGACTATTTCTATCAGTATTTGAACAAAATGCCATTATTGGTGACATAGTAATTTTTTTAGCCACACAGTGGACTTGATAAGAGCCACAGGGCTCAGACAGTTCCCAGCATAGATATGTTTAATAAATAGTTTGTGAATCATGCATAAGTTCTATTTGCTTTTGTTTGGTTTTCCTGGATTTTATGACAATTTTTTTCTTTCTAGAACAATCTGAACCTTTTAGAAACTTGAGCCTCACTCAGCAGACCATTCTTTTTTATTTATTTAACTTTTTAAGGTTTTTGTCATAGGGTGTATGTGCTCAACGTGGGTGGGGTTAGGAGAGTGAGAAATCACCCTCCAGGGGAGATAGCCATGCCATAAACCCTTCTCCTCCGTTCTCCTCCTGGAATCTTGGGCATGCATGAACAAGCACCTGGCATGATTTCAAGCTGCCAAGTCCAGGACTCAAACAGTGTATTAAACACAATGCCACCTGCTGTTCCCTAGCAGACCAGTCTTACGTGCCAACCATACAAGCTAAAAGGTCTCTATGCCCTGTCTTTTTGGAAAGATCTGTGGACATACCACTCTGCTTCAGCTGGATTATGCTTAAACCATTCAAACCAGATCTGAAGGAATGAGTGACCACATAGCTTTTTTGTAAAGGGTCAGATGTCACTCAACATAGAACTGTCACCATACCTATGGAGTGAATCATACCTGTTCATGTTTCTCTATATCAGGTTTGACTGTATCTCCTAATCTTGCTTGTGCCAATTTTCCTTTTGGTTTTACCTGCTTTTTTTCTTCTTCACAGGTTGCTTGCACTCATTTAGATGTGGATTTAGTCTGCATAACAGTGACAGAAAAACTACCATTTTACTTCAAAAGACCCCCTATTAATGTGGTAAGTGTTTCACTTTCTGTTCTATATTTGAATCTGTAGACACTTGCATTAGCAAATTAGAAAAAGAGCAAAAGAAGGCTCTGTCCTTAGAGGAAAAAGCAAAGGCTAGGTAATATAAGCAGTTTTAGAAAAGAAGATTTTATTAATATTTTTGAGCTGATAAAAGGGAGAAAGAAAGATTAAAGTAAAAAATATTCAGTTAATTCTCAAGATGTTTTTGAAAGGTATTAGAATAGAAAATGTATGAAAGCTGTTTCTTAAAAGGTAGCTAATAAAGATGGATACTTATGGCCCAAACACTGAACATTATAGCCAAAACAGAAGGGAGGAAAACACAGAAGGCCCCTGGGGCACCAACAAGCTAAGGAGGGAGTAAGCCAAGGAATCACCTAGGTATGGGCTAGGATTAAAATCTGTGTTGAAGCATTCTGACTTGCTCAAAAGCCCAGGATTACTTTATAATAACCTCACAGGGTGGCCCATGTTCATGAAAGTTTTTCTTCCTCTAGTATATTTCTTTCTTTACTCTTCTACATAGTTTCTCTTATTTTCCCATACTCTTCATCTTCTGTCTGTCATGCTTTCTTTGAAATCTCAGTTCCCTCCCATTTCTATTACAAATGGGATGTTATTTTACACCAGTAATGGTTTTAGTAGCTGTGAGGTCAACACCACTGTTAATTATTTGCTTTCCCACCAAGATCCCAGGAAGAATCGGAATGCTATTTAAGAATAATGGCTTCCAGGACCAGCAGATAGTGTAATGGCTATGTCACTGGACTCTCATGTAGTCAGCCGTGGTTCAAGTCCTAGACCCAGTGACTTAAACTCACACCGGGTGCATGTACATGCGTGCCCAAGGTCCCAAGAGAATGGAAGAGAGAGGATTGGAGCAGCATGGCCATTCCCCCTAGGATGTGATTTCTCACTTTCTGTCTCTCTCTCTTTTTGCCAAGCATACACACTCTATAGCAAAAATCTCTCAAAAAAAAAAAAAAATGGCTTCCAAACTATTCAGTCTCTCATCCTTGAAAAACACTATCCAAGGAGAAAAGCGTTTGGCAAACGTAGTTCACATGATATACCTAATCCTATCAGAGCTAGAAAATTAAAAGATTATTTATTTATTTAATGTTTTTTTGAGAGAGATTTTTTGCTATAGGGCATATGAAACAGAGAGACAGAAAATGAGAAGTCACCGCCCAGGGAGAATGGCCATGCCCCAGTCCCTTCTATATTCTCCTCTCAGGATCTTGGGCACACATGCACACATGCCCAGCTTAAGTTTCAAGCCTCCAGGACTTGAACCATGGTTGGCCATGTGGGAGTACAGTGACATAACTATTATGCCGTATGTTGCTCCTTATTTTAAAACTTCTTTCCAAGTGGATAACTCCCCTATTCTTATGTCTCTGTAAAATCACACATTCCTTTTTGTTTTGTTGTTGTTGTTGTTGTTTTATTTTATTTTTTTTTTTAGTTTTGCTATAGGACATGTACACCAGAAACAGCAAAGAGAGTAAGAGACAGAGCCAGATAAAGTGAGAAGTCACACCCCAGGCCAGATGGCCATTCCTCAATCCCTTCTCCATGCTCCTCTCAGGATTTGGGGCATGCATGCACACACCCCCAGAGTCTTTTTCAAACCATTGGGTCCTAGACTCAAACTGTGTAGTTCGCCCGCCATGTGGGATCCAGCTGCCTTAACCACCACACCACCTGGCTGGCCCACAACTTCTTCGATTTTTGTTTCCCTTTGCTGCTAAGCAATTGGCTTGATGCTGAGAATGGGTAAAGAGACAATGAGAGGAGAAAACTAATTTATTTGTTGTGTAAAAATTGAATCCAGTCTGGAAAATTTAAATTGGCTTGTGTTCTGCCCCAAAAATATGCTACTAAAACTGTACTTGAAAAATCCCAAAGATGTGTAATTATATATTTAAAGCAACTATAAAGTTCTTTTCTGGTAAATATTGAGAGTATTACCAAACATATAACAATAGTGGCCGAACTGAGATTAGTTCCCTTTGTGGCCACCGGCACTGATCAGTTGGTAAATGAACACTGAAAACAATCCCCGAATTACCATTTATCACGTGGGAAAACAGGATGGCCAGAAGTCATTCAGCAATTCAGCCACAGGGCTAGGGCGGTTCCAGTTGATTGCCTATCAGGTAGGCGGTCCCAGGTGCCCATGATAAAAGCTGCAAACTAATATAGTACCCAAGTTTATGACCACCTCATCAGCCTCATGTATTGCTTTCTCTCCAGAGATACCTGTCTCCATCCCTAAGAAGTTTACCAAAGGTTTTCACCAGCCTCATACTGCCAATCCAGGTTCTATTAGGCCATCGAGAGAGCTTCCGACAACTCAATATATAAATAAGTAGCTCTCCCAGAGTTAGGCAGTGCAGCCACTCTGCAAATTGCTGTTAATTAAACTTACAATGTTTTCACCTTTTTCTTCACCTTGATGAACTTGGTGGGCCATTTTCTAGATGGCTTTGCCTGAATAAGCCCATAGAAGATACTCTGACCCTGGCTGGGAGTAGATAGTGGCATGCAATGCAAAGGCCAAGTCCTCGGGATGAGTGGCAGTGTGCAACACAGAATTCCTCATGTCTCATAGCAGTGGTAACAGTCCCAGTGACTGGTTTTTGTTTGTGGTTTTTCTTATATTTTGCCATAGTGCGCCCGCCATGTGGGATCCAGCTGCCTTAACCACCACACCACCTGGCTGGCCCACAACTTCTTCGATTTTTGTTTCCCTTTGCTGCTAAGCAATTGGCTTGATGCTGAGAATGGGTAAAGAGACAATGAGAGGAGAAAACTAATTTATTTGTTGTGTAAAAATTGAATCCAGTCTGGAAAATTTAAATTGGCTTGTGTTCTGCCCCAAAAATATGCTACTAAAACTGTACTTGAAAAATCCCAAAGATGTGTAATTATATATTTAAAGCAACTATAAAGTTCTTTTCTGGTAAATATTGAGAGTATTACCAAACATATAACAATAGTGGCCGAACTGAGATTAGTTCCCTTTGTGGCCACCGGCACTGATCAGTTGGTAAATGAACACTGAAAACAATCCCCGAATTACCATTTATCACGTGGGAAAACAGGATGGCCAGAAGTCATTCAGCAATTCAGCCACAGGGCTAGGGCGGTTCCAGTTGATTGCCTATCAGGTAGGCGGTCCCAGGTGCCCATGATAAAAGCTGCAAACTAATATAGTACCCAAGTTTATGACCACCTCATCAGCCTCATGTATTGCTTTCTCTCCAGAGATACCTGTCTCCATCCCTAAGAAGTTTACCAAAGGTTTTCACCAGCCTCATACTGCCAATCCAGGTTCTATTAGGCCATCGAGAGAGCTTCCGACAACTCAATATATAAATAAGTAGCTCTCCCAGAGTTAGGCAGTGCAGCCACTCTGCAAATTGCTGTTAATTAAACTTACAATGTTTTCACCTTTTTCTTCACCTTGATGAACTTGGTGGGCCATTTTCTAGATGGCTTTGCCTGAATAAGCCCATAGAAGATACTCTGACCCTGGCTGGGAGTAGATAGTGGCATGCAATGCAAAGGCCAAGTCCTCGGGATGAGTGGCAGTGTGCAACACAGAATTCCTCATGTCTCATAGCAGTGGTAACAGTCCCAGTGACTGGTTTTTGTTTGTGGTTTTTCTTATATTTTGCCATAGTGCACATGTACTCACTGGAAAGAGAGACAGAGAGAGGGGGAAATGAGAAATCACCCTTTGGGAGATGGTCATCCCCTATTCTTTTTCTTCTGTTTTCAGGATTTTTGGATACACACATCCCCAGTGTGATTTATCAAACCACCAGGTCTGGGACTTGAACTGCTGAGTTAGCCATATGGGATCCTGCTACCTTAACCTCTACATCACCTGCTGGCCTCCCGGGGCTGTTTTAATGACTGCAATATCTTACCTACAGTGAGTCCTCTGTAAAATAGGTTAAATGAATGAGAATTCACTCCCTCTCAGGGAACCTGGCCAGAATCTGCTGTCACTAGTCAGCAGCTGGTTCTGGGAGGTGGGCTGGGAACAATACGGTGAGGGAGGTGGAACACGGCACCTAAGGGCAAGATGGCACTCTGGACAGCAGCCGGGACATCCCATCCCAGTTCCATCTGGAATTCAGGAGAGCTGCTGTATGATGGCTATTTCGGGCTTAATTCCCCACCTTTTTTAATTTAAGAATTCCAAAAAGTAGAAAGTTTGACAAGTGAAAGGAATATGCAGTATTTAACACTGTGTCTGCTTTTTTTAAAACAAACTGGTGTGAACATTTTACATATGTTGTTTAATAAAAACTAGATGATGGAGCAGAGGGAAAGCTGCACAAGATTATTTTTACTCTTCAACTAGTATAGAAATAGGCTGCAGTGTGAATTGGTCAGGAAGCAGAGAAGTCCTTGTTAATTTTTTAAAAAGAATTAGTTTATGTAACTTTATTCATTTGTTTGTTTCAATTAGACCAGAGAGGGACAGAGAGAGAGAGAGAAACAGAGAAAGTGAGAAAGCAAGCTGCCAGGTCCAGGACTCGAACCATGGTCGGCCCTGTGGAAATCCAGTGCCTTTAACCACCATGCCACCTGCCAGCCCCAAAGTCCTTGTTAATTTATTCACCTAGTTTTCTCATTTAAGAGAAAAGAATGAAGCATGCAGGTATCCAGCTTATGGTTCAGGGCAAACGGTTATGGTTTAGGTATGTTTGTATTATATGCAACACACGATCTAAGCTGGGTGTGGATCTCTATGTCTGCATTAGAATATGGAAACATACGCACTGTGAAAGCACAGAGCATGTGGGGAGTGTGGGGAACAGTTCCTTCTTTAAGTCTTGATCCTTGCATGCTCCTTTGGCTTTGAGGATAAACTTGTCTTTGACCAGGAGAAACTGATAGGTTGGCTTGATAAGGATCACTTCACTGGGCCTATGAGAACACAGTGCAGATCTTAATTTCATTAGGGT